CTACCAAATTTAAGAAAAGAAAATTTTGTACTCTCATAATATTTTGAAATAAAGAATTAGAAAAAAAAGAATAACAGGAGTCACAAACCACAAATACAAATGCTTTTTATCTGAATCATCTGAATCATCTACATATTCCTATAAGTTTATGTTATTAAAATCAAGTTCATTTTCAACAAACTTTAGAAAATCATTGACATATATGGATGTGGATAAATGTGCCCTTATTCCTCTGGATAGATTTCTTTGAGCTTTCAATATGTTGTAGATTATAATAGTCTAATTGCCCTCTTTCAGTGAATCTCTTTTCAGCAGTTATTTTGAAGATTTCTATATTTATTTTATTTAGAAAGCACATTTGGTTAGTAAGTAGTTCTGGAATATATATATACACACATATATATGTGCAAATAGATTTATTCCCAAATAAAATGTTCAAGAGTACATTTATTATTTTCTAGATTTTCCAGCTTTGTCTTCTATTTAGGAGGCAGACCTTAGTGTACATAGGTATGAGTCTGAATCGTATAATTTCTTTATTCCTTTTGTTCAAGTTTCTCTAAATATACCTGCCAAAATTCACTGAAGACTAACCTCTGGGACTAGAAAACAAAAGAAAAAGAAAAGAAAAAAAATTCCTTTTTCTTTCCAAAGCTCTATTGGGCTTTTATTTAGTTGAGGCTTGAGACCTAGTGACACTCCTCTGATACGTACATAGCAGGAGTAATTTGAATGAGAACAAAGACACAGGAATATTGGTGGAGGTGTCTTAACACATAGCTCAGCTTTTCATATTTAAAACATTGTCTGAACCTGCAAGAACAATATTGGACCCAATGTCAAGTTTGAGCATTTTTCCCCCATTGTTTAGTTCGGATTCCAGCAGGAGAGGATTTTGTATGAGTGTGTGACAAGTAAGAAAAAAAAATAAGAAAACTAATAACTGCTCAATGACGGTAATGGAGGAAAGTACAGAAGTAGATAATAAGGCGAGCACCCCGATGGTTGGCTTAAAATGGGGAAGAGAAGGTGGGGTGAAACAGATGGGTCATTAGGCTTGGAGACTGTGTGACATTTGGAAGCAAGAGTAACATTTTCTTTGAAACTGTGAATAAACAGCTTGGGAATAGTCTATGATGTTCTTTTCTGATACTGGTTTTATTCCATTTGTCTCAGGGCCCTAAAAAGCAAGTGTTGATTAAATTGTCTTGCTCTAATTACTATGCTGGAATGTATTACCTTTAAAATATTTTGACTTCTTATACTTGATTTCAGTATAACTGCAACTTACGCTTATATGCAGGCCCATTTAAAGACCTGAAATCTCTCTGGGATTGCTGCTATGTGACTACCCTTCTGGTTTAAGTTAACATCGTGGAATGTTATTCGTGACATGTGTTTACCCAATTGCCTCACATCATAGAGCTAGAAGAGACTATACCAATGTGAAAAAAGTGAAGATAAAACAAATGAGAAGAGGCAAAGGCCATTTAATTTGAGCTTGCATTTGGCAGAGACTCAGGCAGACAGAGTGGAAAAGCTTTACAGTGGAAAATGGTTGTAGATTAAATTTGGCCTAAAGCTGACTCGGTATATAGCAAACTGTAACCTAATTCAATATATAAACAAACTGCAACCTAATGTAAGTGTCTACTGAGTCTTGACCAATCACAACAGCTGAGAACATGACCAAATAAGGCAAAGGCTACATCCTAACACATCAAGATGCGGTAGAACCTCCATAATTGACTACATCCCTATGTTGGCCACCTCCTTAAGTTGATCTATTTTTCATAGACTGGGCATGCACCACAGGTGTCTATCCATACAGCAGGCCTGGCTCCTTATGTTGACCACCTCTGTACATTGACCAGTTGGTTACAGCCCCCTGGTCAACTTACAGATGTTCTACTGTACTTATGCATGTCATTTCATTTTTACTTCTACCTGTAAATACTGTTTGCCCACATTGCTTTGTGGAACTCTCTCATCCTTTATTCGTTGAGGCTGTTGTTTAATTCATGAATTGTTTCTTTACTCAAATAAACTCTGCTAAGTTGAATTTCTCTAAAGTAATCTTTTAACAAAAATATTGACTTGAGGCTATTGCTTAGGAAAGCTGTAAGCAGGCTAACTAGAAGTGGGGTGTCCTTTGTGACTGGGCAAAAGTGTATTTTCACCTTCTCCAGGTGATCCTGTGTTGGAATCTGTAGCAAAACCCGGGGAAGTGGCAAGTTATTGGTCAAGTCTTGACTGTGGCCAGTTGATACATGGCCCATTGTCTGGCTTTGGATTAGTTACTAGAGAGAGTAACCTGACTTCTTATAATTCTAATTGGGATATAAGTAGGTTGGCTTTCTGCCCTGGTACGGTAGTAATGGGTTCATTTTCCATTTGTGTTCTCAGACTCCTTGTGATTACCTAGGCTATACTTAGAAATAAATTCATGAAGAGCAGATGGCTGTCCTTTATTTAATGAATACTACTTTTTATTACTTTGTCTTTTGTTTTAGTTTTCAAAATAATTTGAAATGTAGAGTATTATTAGAGTATTCAAATAAAATCAAGGAATTTAAGTAGGGCTGATGTTTTCTCCAAGTTTAGGTAATGAAGAGAAATCAAATGCTCATCATGTGGGTCACCAGCTAGAGCTCCAGAGCCAGAGCCTCTGGGATTCCTGATCCAGGCTGTGCAATATTTTACAAACTATTCTATCTCTGCCCCATAGATTCAGATGGTAGGGAACCAAACTGTGATATTTGTATTATTACACTGCTGAATGTTGTTGAGTATTTTAATCAAAATGGAAAGAAGATAAAAATACAGATTGTTTGAATCATTTATGTGATTTTTTTATGAGTTTTTCTCAAAAATGTTTTATTTGAATTAAGCTTTTAACCTGGTGAATTTTTCAACTTGGAATTGGTAAATAATCAGATTTTTGAAAATACTGTCGGTGCCATGCCGCTTGACTCTCTTGTTCTATTAGGAATGTTGTATTTCCTACACAAATCAGAAAGGGGTCTTAGAAGTTTGGAAAACTAGTAAATAAGTAAATAAATAAAATTACATTCTTATTGAGCAATATGCTAGGTGGTCAAGGCAGCAGATTCAGAAAATGAATGCAACAAAACCTGAAATTCAGTGTCTGCCCTCAGAGAACACACAACCTTTTGGTGAGAGCAGATACGGAGAAATATAAGACAGTGTTGTACAGAGATGACCATAACCCAGCAGGAGTGGTGATTCGGGGGGACACAGCTTTAGAGGATACTTAAATTGAGTAAGGAGGTCTGAGTAGAGTTAGCTAAGCAAAGATAATACACAAGGCTATTCAAAGCAGAGGAGGTAGTAGCTATAGAAATAGCATTGTATTGTTAGGGGTGGAGCTGGGAGGGAGCAGCTCGGCCAGCTTTGTGGTGTTCCTTGAATATAAAGTTCAGGAGGGAGTGACAGAGTTCGAGAAGGGAAGATCAAGATAGTGGAGACTTGCAGGTCATGTTAGGGGTAGGAAGCTTAGACATCATTCTGCAGGTAACAGGAGGCCTCTGGGAGGATCTGAATCAGAGGTACGTGATGATCATATTTACATTGTAAACAGATCATTTTGGCAGTACAAGGTGTTTAACTTTGGGAGTCAAGGACAGAGATCCAGACAATTTATAATAATTCAAGGGAGATGATTAGAACTGGAACCAGAGCAGTTAAGGTAAATGTGATACAGAGTATGAGAGATGAGAGAGCAAGATACTGAGAAATAAAATCTGCAGAGTCTTCTGTCTGTTGGAGAAGCAGTTTTGGAGAGTAGCAGTTTTTGGGGAGCAGGATATTTGGGGAGTAGCAGTTATTGAAAGGGAGGGGCAAGCTTCTAGCTTGCAGAGTTTGGCTGACAAGGAAGAACTAGTAGTTTAGCAAAAAGTGTTATCAGTTCGGTAGATAAAATGTTAAATTTGTGTTACAGATGAATCTAAAGATAAGAAGAATGGCCCGGGCATCTGAGGGATAAAATATTTAGAAATTACTGGCAATCGGACGATTGCTGGCTGAATCTTGAAGGATAGAGTCACAGGACAGAGCATAGTGAATGAGAAAGCAGCGGCTAAGCCAGGGCTGTGGAGACAACCAGTGCAGGATACATGGGAGAGGAAAGAGTGCAAGGGACAGAAAAGGTGCTAAACAGAGAACCCAGCCCAGGAAGGCGCCACCGTGAAGCCAGCCGGGAGAATCAAAGATGCAAATAAGTAATCAGAGAGTTGTCAAGTGGCTGAGAAAAGTCTTCTCATTTCACCAGCTAAAAGGCACTGGTGATCTGAGCAAAAGCAGCTGGAGCTAAGTGGTGTGGCTGAAAGCATGTCACAGCAGGCGGTGAAGTGAAAAAGATGGGGAAGTAACAGAGTGAGTGTGAAGTGTTCTGTTAGACGTCTCCTTGAAGATGAACATAAGGGAAGAGTTCCTGAAGAACACTCAGGTTTCCTTGAGGTACTCTTTTTCCAAAGAGAAAACTATTGCCTAGCAATATTAAGCTACACACCTAAGGAAGGAGGCCTAGTGGAATCTATGTCCTTTTTTTTTTTTTTTTTGAGACAGAATCTCACTATGTCACCCTCAGTAGAGTGCTATGGCATCATAGCTCACAGCAAACTCAAACTCTTGGGCTTAAGCCATTCTCCTGCCTCAGCCTTCTGCGTAGCTGGGACTATAGGCACCCACCACAATGCCCTGCTATTTTTTGGTTGCAGTTGTCATTGATGTTTAGCAGGCCCAGGCCAGGCTTGAACTCACCACCTTCGGTGTACGTGGCTGGAGCCCTACTCATTGAGCTATGGGCACTGAGGCCTATGTCCTTTTTCATATTTAAATTCTGTAGTGCCCAACATAAACCTATGTTTCCAATAGGATACTGAAAGAGTGTTTTAGAAAATCACACTTTAATTTTTAAAAATCATTTGGGATGATCTTGACCTTTTTTTTAATGGAATGTCATTTTGGTTAATACACAGAATCCACAGAGGAGCTGAAAGTCCGAAGCCACAGCACGGAGCCATTACCAAAGTTGGACAACAAGGAGAGAGGCCACCATGGGGCGTCTTCCTCCAGAGAGCCTGTCAAAGCTCAGGAATGGGATGGAACACCAGGTCCACCTGTGGTCACCAGCAGAATGGGGAGGTGCTCGGTGAGCCCTACCTTGTTGGCAGGAAACCACAGTTCAGGTAAGAAGGCTTATGATCATCCCCATAGAAATTCCTCCTATCTCCAGAAACTCCTCTCAGGCTATTATCACGTGGGGATATCTGTCTCCTCTCAGAGAAATGACAGAAACAGTCCTTCACATAGACTACGCAAAGAAATGAAATAGTATATTGTACGACCATAGGGTACAACCATTCACAGAGATCATAGGAGAGTAAATGGTGCTTTGAGGAGCCGTGTAAGACAGCAGCCCTGACGATTTGAATAGTTCTGTACTAAATTTCTTCCATAGCATCCAGGGGCCTCATCTAATGCAGTTTTAATTCATGACGTTTGGGCGAGTTAGAGTTAATACCTCTTTTGATTTAAAATAATTAAGAAAATAGTTAAAAATTAACATTGAAGACAAAAATATGACCAAGGTAATCTGAAGGCAGTTGAGAGAGCAGAAATCATGAGGCTGGGAAAGCAGAACTTGGAAGCTGAAGACACTGGTTATGGGGCATGGTGCTGTGTTTCCAAAACTGCATCAGAAGAGATAAAAATGTTAATCTAATACACCTTTAAATTTCACAAGTTAAAATTAAAGTCTGTAATTCAATTTTGAATAGTTAATAGATAACTATCATTAAATATCAGGGGTTTTTTTGTTTTTTGTTTTTTTTTAAAGTAGCATATGTTTGCTTTGGACTGATTAATCCACATGCTGGACTCAGAGTACTATCAATGGAAATAAACGGCAAATAATCAAGAAGCCTCCTGTGGTTTTCAGGTTTCTATTTCTTAAGAGTGTTAGAGCTCTGAAGAAAAGACCGATCCTTTAATGTTCTTTTTAACTCTGATACTCTTCTTAGAAAGCAATTTACATGAATTTAGCCTGTGGTCTTTTCAACAGTCATGTACAAGTGAAAATTGGAGCAGGATGTCTGATCACTGCCCTTGGTGAGGGATATTCCTGGAACAGTCCCCAGGCGGGGCAGAGCAATAGCTTTCCCAGACGTCAGACATAACTTAAGGCTCTGGTGGTGGACCGGTAGAAGGTAGCATGTTCAGATCAAGTTTAAAGGGTGAGTTGAAATCTAGCAGAAAGAACATTATGTGAATTTAGCAGAAATTTTAAAATATATTTTTGGTAACAAAGTATAAATTGCTATAGGTGTATGGGAAAAAATATATATGGATTTTGTCAAAAAATAAAAGAAACAGAGATTAAATAGGTTTGTGGGTGTGGGTGTGTGTTGGAGGTGGGGGGCACTCATCCTCCAAAAGTTGACATGACTATTCAGTTGGGGCTTATGATTAATTTGGGGTCTTCTTTGTAATTTTTAAAGAATTACGTAAGTTTATACCAGTTCTTTCTAAATTATGTGAACAATATACGCTCCTATTGTGACCAAAGTTGCATTTTATGAAAGCCAGAAGTATTACATAAGTGCCTATTTTGTAAAAGCCACAGTTCTAGGAACTGAGAGTATAAGGATGGATAAGCATTACATCTCATCCCTTGCAATGAGATGCTCAAAGTCTAGTGCAAGACAGACAAATAGGTAATTGCAATACAAGGTGTGTTGCAGTCAGGCTTTTCCAGAGAAACACAACCAATGGGATATTCATAGATATGTAGAAAGAAATTTGTCATGAGGGGTGAGTGTCCATAAATATGGAGGCTTAGTTATTTCATGATCTGCCATATGCAAATTGGAGACCCTGAAAAGCCAGTTTCATAGTTCTAGTCCAAGCTCAAAGGCCAAGAGCCAGGGGAGTCAATGGCATAAGTCCCAGTCTAAGTCTAAAGGGTCCAAGAACCACCAGCGAGCTGATGTGCAGGTGCAGGAGAAGGTGGATGTCCCAGCCTAAGAGGAGAGAGCAAATTGGTTCTTTCTCTTCCTTTTTGTCCCATTCAAGCCTTCTTTGAATTGGATGATGCCCACTCACAATAGTGAGAGTGATTTTCTTTACCTGCTCAGTCTGCTAATTTAAATACCAGTGTCTTCCAGGAACACCTTCCCAGACACACCCAGAAATAATGGTTCACCAGCTGTCTGGGTATCCCTGAAGCCAGTCAAGTTGATGCATAAAATCACATGTGTTATGTAAAAATAAAATGGGAAACAGAAGATGTCCTCGTTTATTTTGTGGCGCTATAGCAGAGTACCTGAGGCTGGGTACTTTATAAAGAAAAGAGGATTGTTTAGCTCACAGCTCTACAGGTTGGGAAGTTCAAGAAGCATAGCAGTGTCATCTGCTCACTATGATGTGAGAGCATTTGAGCTGGGTCAAAACTTGGTGCAAGGTCAGGGGGAAAGCAGACGCATGTGAGAGGGATATCCTGACTTTATGAAACCCACTCACACTACTCTTTCCAGAACAGCACCTGGCCATTCACGAGGGATCCCCAGGGATGTCATCAGTGACCCAGGAACTTTTGGTTCTGCCAACTCTGCTGTTCTGCTACTTCTCATAATTGTTTCATGATCAGGAGGTGCCTACACAGTTCTGGGCATTGTGACTCCCTTGATCTCATTGGTCAGAAATGGACCACATGTTCTTTGGGCCAATCACGGAGTGAAGGACCATGGGATTTGTATGGAATTTTAGAGCCTCTCTTTCCCTTAATTCGGGGGGGGGGGCCCTGAAACCCATTGGGAAATGAAATTGACACTCTATTAGCAGAGATAAGAGGGCGGTGATGTTGCATAAACATAGGACAGCATCTGCTACACCAGGGTTAGACTTTAAAGATTAAGTTTTTTTCATCATTCTTTTAAAGATAGGGATAATGTGATTCTGTTTGCAACTTGGAAAATCCAGTGATAACTCCAGGACTTAAAGGTTGGGTGACTGAAGGATCGTTCACTGAAACCAACATGGTGAATCTGAGGTGGATAGCAAGGAAACGTCGGAATTAAATTTTGACTGTGTTAAGTTGGAAGTCCTCTGGGCCATCAAACCGAGGAGCCAGTAGATGGCTGGAATCACAGGTCTGGAATTAAAGAGATTTAGTGGGATTTGAGCATAGCACTGAGACATTTGGAGTGGAGAGTGAGATGAAGAGAAAACTGAGATGGGACCCCAAATGCTTCAAAAGCACGGGCACAAGAAGAATCACTGAGACACACAGAAATGAAGCCATTAGACAATCCCTGGTTAAACTTTTATTGAACATTCAGCTGCTGCTACACACTCGTAAACATACATCTTAACGGTGTATTTGACATGAATCTTTTAATAAATTTAAAGCATAAACAGAATTTCTACTGTACTTTCATTTTCTTGTGCTTCAAAATCTTGAACTATCTCTTCTGGTTTATAGCATCTCAAATCTGCTCTCCTGGAGCCCTTCAGCTCTGTGTATAGAGCAGGAAATTGTCCACTGAGCAGAAGAAATGACACGAGTACTTTTAGTCCTTCCTACTCTTTATCTTGGATCATGAAGGAAGTAGACAAGCATGGAAGGAGAAAAGATTAGTGTCAAATTTTCAAAAATGACATTATTCATCCAAAGTAAAATTAAACGCCAACAGCAGAGGCAAATGTCCAGTCTCAATCATAATGTCAGGTGAAGCCAGAGTTTCCTATGTGAAAGTTAAACTCAAATGAGCTTTGCTTTCTCTTACACCCTTTGGTCTACTTTTGAGGAATACAAAAGGAGAAAAGGAAAAAAAAAATGTTGTGTTGTTAGCTTTTATTTTTCTGAAGAGATTGAACCTCAAATATGCCATTTTTGAACTAGACAACGTCAGAGTTCCTCTAGCAAAAGTGCATAGCAAGGTGTCTGAGGTTCACTCACCTTCTTCAATTGTAACAAACCGTGCACTCACTACTTGATGAATGTTTATCGGCGACGTGGTCTTGGTCCAGATAGGCAAGCAGCTGTGTGGGGGAGGAATTGTGGACTTGCTGCTTTGGAACAGAAGACAAGGAGTCAGGTTGAACTGCTTTCCTTCTCTTTACTGTTCCTCATCGTTGCATCCCTGCAGCTGGGCCTCGGAACTGCTAACCCCCTACCAGAAACAGGGGAACCGTAATCTGTCACCCGCCTTTCTAAACAACAAAGATAACCTCCACACCTAACCCTGAGAGGAAAGAGGATTCTACCTGTGGTCTCCTCTCTCCCTCGGTCAACTTTCTGGCTCTGGTCCCCCACGCCCCCGTCTCTCTCTGTCTGTCTCTATCTGTTTCTGACTCTGAGTCTCTCTCCCTCTCTCTCTGTCTCTCTCTGCCTCCACCCCAGCACACACAGAGCCTGGTACATATAAACTTCTGCCAGTCACAGACTGTCGCATTACCGAAAGTAGTTTAGCCACTTGAAATGGCTGTTCTTAGCAGCTCTTCTGAGGAATGGAGGAATTGCTGAAGTAAAGTGAAAGTGTCAGGAGATCTCAATTCTAATTAACATTGCCACTGCTTGTTGCCGTACTTTATTAAAGTCACTGTTGTTTAGTAAATCAGAGGCTCCCCCGAGGGCGATTCTTAAAGGCAGGGGAGAACTGGGACCCAAATGCTTGTGAAAATAATGGGAAAAAGTGGGGGAAATTA